TAATTAGTAAAGAAAATAATATAAATTAGTAGTTCGAAAGTTATAAAGAATGATAAACTTATAAGGCAATCATTCTTCTAAAGTATACGCGTACTTTTCACCGCGAGGGGATCCAACCACACGACCTTATCTTGTGTGGGAGATATCATGGCCAACATCCAATGTCCTCCTCTATTATATGGCATGAAAAAAGTATGTCGGGCGTCCGATTGTAACAAAAATTACAAATAGCATTTGTCCGCCGCTCTATATCTAGCTCCGCTTGGCCTGGAACGTAAGACGTGAGCATCGGGGACATGAAACCCCAATGTCCTAGGACATTCTTCTGATTTCACACGTGCCACAAGTGAATACATGAAAAATGAAGAAGTTAGTTATACATTTAATAATAAATAGTAATTTATTGTGAAAACGTAATAAGGATAGTTATATTACCACATGTAAGCCATGATACACACAAGACTAAGTTCTTGATAGATGGCCATCCATTCGATATCATCGGCTGTAATGAAGATCTGCATATTATGCACCTGATTCATATCAAATGGAAGGGGAATCTGAATTGTTCCACGGATGCCCATCGATTGTCGCACATGAATAATTAAGTCTTACATTTCTGTGGACAACCCTTGCAACTGCTCCGACAGCGGTTATGTTACTTTCCCGTCCCCGGCAGGTCCTTGTGTATTTTTCAACTTTTTTTGTTTCCCAGCTTTTTTCTTCCCCTGCTCCAGAGGATTATCCATGGGTTCTTTTCCGGTCGGAGCTTGGCTAACTTTACTCAAAGACCTTAGTTCAACCAAATCCCTGGGCCAGGCAACAAATCCTCCGAGAGCGTCACCTACAGTCGTGCTATCAAATGTAGAGATAGGCAGAGGCGCATCTCTCACATAAGTCGATTGAATAGAAACGTGTACATTTCCCTCCCCAAGTGCGACACCATGGACAACATCGGTGAGGCGATTATCCAACCATGCCATCCTCGTCGCAACAACGATAAAATTATTCTTCCCCTCTGTTGGAGCCAGAAGAATGCACTTACTACCATCACCAAGGCCTGATAAGGGGGCTCTGCCGGTGGCCTAGCATTATGGACAGTACCACTCTCTTTAACACTACGTCGTTAATCCACCGCAGGAGTTCCCATTTCTCTCCTACAAGTGTTGGGGTATGGCATTGGGATGATTGCATTGCTTCCCATCCGGCATCCATTATTTCCACACTCTTACGCAGCATTGCCAACTCTTCATCCCTTCTTGATCTGCCAGTAGAATGAAAATAAGTCAACTTTTTGACAAATTGGGATTGCCCATGAATATGGCATGAGTGTTCTAGGTTTCTCAATGATCTAGTAAGCACATCTTCAGTCCCCTGAGATTGAAACTTTCCCTGGGACTCTTCTTCGGCATATTAGTCCTACAAAATTTAGAACAAAATTATTATATATTTCTTGACATATTTCCTATTGATCGAACAAATATTAAAAAGAAAAGCAATAACTCAAAATTAATTTGCCGATCTCTTCGTATTCCATAATTTTGTAAGTTTCGTCCGGCTTTTTACATATGAACTGCCATAAAGTGGCTTAATCCGGCTTCTCCGTAGTGTTATGTATTGGCATCTGTATTCAATTAAAAAGTATATTAAAGATTATAATACAAACAAATGCCATTAATATCATTGAAAAAAGTAATTGAAGACTTACATAATCTTCCTCTACTTTCCTATATCCCCCACGAGTATTCCCATGCGGGTACTTGTACGATTCTCTTCTCTTAGATGCTTCTTCAGAAACGGCATGTTAATCGTCACTAAGTCTATACTCCACAAACTTCCTCCATTGCTCCGAGATAATTGAAGGGTAATTTGTAACCACTTTCTTTGGGAGTTCAAAGAGTTGGGGACTATCCTTTAATGACTTTACAAAGGTCATGAATAGGTTCGACTTAAAGTCCTGAGCTATCTTCGTCGCACAAGTAAGCTCGTATTTTTTTACGGTCTCTGAAACCGTGAAACTTTGAACCAAATCATGCAAAATTTGATTCACGTTATTTTTATTTTCCTTATATCTCCAATCTTCCATTGTTATTGGCACGTGTTCACGTGCTAAAACACCAACATAACTTTGTAGCTCATTCCCCGCTCTTTCTCCTTTATCCCTCATTTTCTGCTCTTTGTCCTTTATCCCTCATTTTGACAACTACGCATTATGGTTGCCCTTCGTTTCCCATCATCATCGGGTCAAATTTTGTTCTTTTCCTAAGTTCATATTGATTTGCCCCATCGGAAGTGCCTTCCTCCCCAAATAAATCTCGTGCGGTATTAAGTTCTTCCTCGAACCAATCACGGCCCGTCATTTTCTAAAAATCAACATATAATCAACATATAGGCCCGTTCACTTCGCTGATTCGAGTTGAGATGTGATTTTATGTGAGAGCTTTTTACTGTAGCAAAAAAGTTAGATGTGACTGTTCTGAGAACTTTTTACTATAGCAAAACTCAAATTGGTGAAGTGAACGGGGCCAGTTTCATTCTTAATCCTAAACTATAAATAACTTAAAACTAACCTAATCAACGTTGAATTAACCTAACCTTATCAATATATACAAAAAATGTACTAAATAACTTAAATTTAGATTTATTTTCATTCTTAATCCTAACCTAACTAACTTAAAACTTCTTAAATCATATACAACAAATATTCACATTTACATTCAAATATTCAAATAGTATTAGAAACACAATTAATTAGTTCTAATCTAAATAATCATATAATATTTAGAAAAAAATAATCGTCTAATAACCTAACCTAATTGAAAATAACCGTACTCTAATCTATGGTTATAAATTTCAAATCTAAAAAATATTATAACTTAAATTGACCAAAATGAAGACAGAGGCGGATGATGGCAGTTCGGCAACGACGGTGGCGGACGCTTGGTGGTTTGGCGAACACCTGAGCGGCTTGGAACGTACGACGACAAGAGACGGAATGAGAGACGGAGCAAGAGTCGGAGAGGGAGAATGGCGGTGGCGGCGTCGAGAGAGACGGAGAGAGACGAAGCAAGAGATGAAGAGAGAGATTGGAAGTGGCAGCGTCAAGAGAGACGGAGAGAGAGAGAGAGAGAGAGAGAGAGAGAGATTTTTGGGTGGTGGGTGGCGACGATATGGTTCATAGGAAGATAGAGAGAGATCGGCGAAGGTTTTGAGTTCGGTTTCTCTTGAAATGAAGACAGATTCGATATTAAATTTCATTTTTGGTTTTCTGCACTCACATTAGATGACGATTTCTTGTAAAACCGCCGTCTAATAGACGATGGTTTTACAAGAAACCGTGGTCTAATATTTTACCAGCTGGTCAGGCTTTTAGGCCAGCATATTATATGACGATTTCTTGTAAAATCGCCATCTAATTAGAGACGTTAAATATCAATTTTTTCGTAGTGGATTAGGAAGCATAATAAGATACTTTTTACACATCTAAGGACTCTGATCAACTGCTTAAAAAATTATCGTCATTCGTAAGGGTGGCAATTCAGGTCACATGTTGTGTTCGCGTCGAATTTTAGTCATTTCTTTTTAAATTTACAGTCAACCCGAACACGACCCGTGACACGAATTTTTTAAAAAACCGCAACGCGAATACGACACGACTACTTAACGAGTTGATACGACACGACGTAAAAATTATCTGTGATACGAAATTGACCCGTGAACTTGAAATTAACACGAAAATTATATATTTTTCTTTAGTTTTTTACATAGTAGAAATAAACTTAAAATCCATAACACGCTAAAATACAATAGCATCTATCAAAATTAAGCAAATAATGTTTTAAGATTTTGAGTATAACTATCATGATATCGCAAGTTTATAATAAAATATAAAATATGTAATGAAAAATATATAGTTTTTAGTTTTTTACGAGTTTCGTGTCGTGTTCGGGTTAGACGGGTCCAACCCGAAATTTATCTGTGTTTTTCGTGTCAATTTTAGGTCGACCCAATTCTAATCTGAACTTCATTTTTCTCAATCTTAACCCGTAAAATTCGTGTCGTTTTCGAATTAAGTTGTCGTGTCGTGACCTATATTACCAGCTCTAATCATTCAGTCATTATACATGTTTTTATTCTCACTTTGTCAATCTTTTTGACATGATTAACTAATCTTCATCCACTGACATTCATCACTTCCCTTTGATCGAACTCAACACAAAGTACAAACTGAGACAATAATGTTGAACCCGCAAGAGGGATCTAAGTGAAATAATTGACCCAATGAAGTTTTTTTTTTTTTTTTTTTTTTCAATGAGGGAATTGACACAAAAAGTTGAAGAAAGAAATATGACAAAAAGAAGACAAATTAGATGCGGGCCACTGTAGCATGCATGGGTAGCCATCTGTCTATACTTTGCATGAAAGCATGCATTTATGCTCTAATAAAAATAAATGCATATATATATATATATATATATTCAGTGTGCACCATCACAACCATACATGCAAAACCAAGTACAAATTAAATTTTGGAAGTATCCATCAATTTTATAAAATGAGAAAAAAATTTGTTCAATTTTACTCAAAAAAAATTAACCTAATTTAACTCATACTATCACAGTAAGATGCCGCACAATCCATTAATCATGCAGGAGATTGAGTATCTCTTCTATACACATTTAGGGAGGAGAATAAATAAAAGACATCTCTGGTGCTAACGTCAACAATTTGGTGCTTAAGTGAATAAGAAAACTTAATGGAAAGTTTTAGACATATATTACGCTATTAGTAAGGTACCCAAAAAAATTGTTTTAATGTCTTTGTTAATATCACTTTCGAAAATATGTAATGTAGAGAAATTTTCACATATTTAAAAAGAAAAACTCTTTTTTGTCCCGATCAAGATTTATCAATACAGATCGAGATTTATCCATGTAGACCTCCCATAAATAGAGAATTTATTCTTGTGTTTGATGGTGGTAAATCCCACTCAGAACAAATAGGACAACACGACTTCACAAGTTCACAGTCTCTCTTCTTCTTTCTCTCTCTTCTTTCTCTCTCCTCCTAGTGTGTGGATTGGTCACTCTCCGCACGTTCCTCTGCCCCCTCTCCCCGCTAAGGCAATTATATCAATATCCTCTCCTCACTTCCTCTCTCCCTTCTTTCTCTCTCTGCAAACCAGCTTAGATTAAGTAAGCTGAGGGCAGAGAGACCAAGACTCAACTTCTTCTTCAGTTGTTCTGCTGCTACTACTACAAATTTCAAATTCTCTAGCTCTCGGAAAAATGGACATGTACGGACTCTCAGCTCAAGACTGCTTTCGCATCGACGACCTCCTCGACTTCTCCAACGACGATCTCTTCTCTTCCATCTCCCACTCCTCCGACGCCGCCGATCTCCACCACCACAACCACCTCCCTCCGCTCCCTCCGACGGCCTCCTCTTCCTCCACAGCTCCCACCGACTTCACCAACGACCTCTGCGTCCCCGTACGATTCTGAACAGAAATTCAACCTAGCTAATTCCGTTCAATTTCGCATTCTACTCTTCTGAAAATTTTTTGAATTTGTTTTTGGTTTTTTTTTTAGCCGAGCGACGACGCGGCGGATCTGGAGTGGCTGTCGCGGTTCGTCGACGACTCGTTCAGCGACATTCCGACGGGAGAGAATTACATCGCCGGATCCACCGCCATTTTCCCGAACGACGCGTCGTTTTCCGTCCGAGCAAGGAGCAAGCGATCGAGAGCACCGGCCGCCGGTGCGGCAAGCTGGACGGCTCCGACGGAGACAATGTCGCCGATCGCCGTCGGGAAATCCAAGCCAAAAGGAGACTCGTCGCCGTCGACGGAAGGAGGGGTGCGCAGGTGCTCACACTGCGCATCGGAGAAGACGCCGCAGTGGCGGACGGGCCCAATGGGCCCAAAGACACTCTGCAACGCGTGCGGCGTGAGGTACAAATCGGGCCGGCTCGTCCCGGAGTACAGGCCCGCGGCGAGCCCAACATTCGTGCTGACTCAGCACTCGAACTCTCACCGGAAGGTTCTGGAACTCCGTCGACAGAAGGAGATCCAACAACAAGAACAACAACAACAAGAAGAACGACAACAGCCACGGGAGAACCAGCCGCAGCAGCAGCAAGAGCAATTCTATCCTCACCATCACGGCTTCCGAGTATGCTGACGTGTCGCACACGTGTCGGTGTTTTACTTGCTGTCATACATATCAATGGGGGGTGATAATACTGGGGAACCGGGACACTTATAACAACGAAACTATTTAACTTTATCCGAGTCTTGGGTTTGTTTTGAAATTTTCCGAGCTAAAAAGTTTTCCTCTCTTTAATTTGAAATATTTGGTTTCAATATTAAATGCTTCAACAACCAATTGCTTTATTTATTTATTTATTTATTTTCTTTTTTTTATTATATACTGGTTTGGTTTAACTGTATAAGGCTTTGGAGAAGAAACGGAGAAAGCGAGAGAGTGAGAGAGGTTCCACGTGATGGACTGGCAGATGAGATGAGGCTGCGCGAATATTCTCTTTTTCTTTTTTCTTTTTTCTTTTTTTTTTGTTTTATTTTTTCTGTGAAAAATAAAATTTTCTCTCTTAAATGAAGAGAGCAAATAAGGCAAGTATTTTGTTCAGAAAGTGTGGGGTCGTCGTGGGACATAGGCCGCTTCGTTCACATTATTGTTACTCTTTTTTTTCTTCTGTTTGAAGTACGTACTGTGGATTGTGGGGCCATCGTATGAGTGGATCTGAGATTTGGAACGGACCCATTTAGGTGTGATTTTTTAAAATTAGGGGTTGTTTGGTTGGAGGATTCGTAACCGATTCGAATCATGGTTCTGGTTCGTTACAGTATTTTTTTTTATAAAAAATACACATAAATTAAAAATGATTCTAATCTTATGATTTTAATACATGAACCAAATGTCTCCGACAAGTTACTCAGATGATGAAAAAAAAAAAAAAAGCCACTCGGACCATAGCATTGGGGTATGAGTGAGTGATGGGGGTGGTTTAGAATAACCAAAACTGAAACTGCCCAACCCCGATAAAAAAAACTGCCGGCGAAAGGCCGACTGGGTCAATGCCACATCCGAATCAACCTCATCGGTCGGTTAGCTAAAATTATCAATTCTAATATTAGAGTAGTCAATTGGAACTACAACGAGCCTACCGTTCTTTAGTGATGTCCTTAATATTTTTTCCTTTTTTGGTGTATTTGACGCATTTACTCCTGAAATTTTCACAAGCCGCGAGTAATTCCTAAAATTTAATTTTGGTAAATTACTTTTGAATTTAATAAAGTGCTAAAACATATCTAGATTTGTATCACTTTCGTCTTGTACACCTGTGATCTTGGGTTTACCAGATTGATTTTCTCATTGTGTTGGGGCGTATGATGATTACTTGGGCTGCGTTTGATAGGGTGGACAGGTTTGCTCAGGTTGGGTTGATTTTTGTACAAGCTTAAGGTCTTATTTATTTCATCACCTCGAATTTTTAATTTTAATTTTTCTACAGTTAAAAGTTCTCACAAAAAATTAAATCTAAGTTTTTTACTACAATTAAAAATTCTCACATAAAGTCACATTTCAACTCGAGTTAAAAATTTAAATCGGTGAACTAAACGAGACCGTATATCTCAAATCAATGATGAATGTTAACATTTGGCTGAAGCATTCTTGTACACATCACCTTAGCTCTTTTAAAGGTGAAGACTGAAATTTTTTACAGTGCGTTTAGTTAGTGGATTCGTACCATGATTTAAATCATGGTTCGTGGTTCGTTACAGTATTTTCTCTCACATAAAATACATATAAACTAAGAATGGTTCTGAATCATGATTCTGAATCTATGAACTAAACGTTCACTTAGAAAAGTGATTCCAAGCTTCTCAAGGAGCCGGGCACATGCACAAATGAGTGAATTAGAGCAATCCCATTTTTAGATAGTTGGTATCTGAATACACCATTTATGTGAAAGGATTTGAGCCTGATGTACACTTAAAAGTGGTGTGGGTGTCTAACTATACTTCATAAATGGTGTTAGGCTTAATATGCATATGCTACCTCGCGAATAGTCCAAATAAGGTTTAGAGAAAAAAAGATAAATACCCCTTTTGATTATATGAGTTTTAATTTTTAATTTTTAATTTTGATTAATACTTTTTTAATTAAATACTATATTAGTCAATAGGATATTAATAAATAAAAAAAAAGTAAAAATCTGAACGTATCCACTCTTAAGGTAAATTTAATAATTTTCTCTATGGTATGTACAGTCATGTGGGCTTAAGTTGAGTTTTTTTTTTTAAATAAAAAAAAACAATTAACACAGTGATACTTGTAACTTGTGAATTTAAAAGCTTCTGAAAATTACCTTTTTGGGAAAAAAAAAAAAAGGCTTTTGAAAATTTGACTTTAAAATGTGAAAATTAAAAATAATATGATCAACACATATAAATTTGTACGATGAAATGTACAATAATATAATAAATCAAGTTTTCTATGCCTTAGTTTAGAGTTTTTATGCTGCTTATTTTCTACATCCGTTCAAAATAGTTTTGCTGCTTATTTTTCTTCATTCAACGTATTCTCTCTTATTTTGTTTGTTTCTTTACAAAGAAAAACATTGCAGTTTGTGAATTTTCTAAGCAATATTAAAAAACTAATGGAGATTAAAAAAGGTTTTAAGTAATCCATATCCATTTTTGATATCGTAGAGCGGATAGCACTCGAGAAGCTAAGGAAGCGAAGAGAGAATCGCCTTCTAATTCCTGGCTTTGGAAGTACTCCTGAAACATGAATCGTCCTGCAGAACTGCGAATTTTATTGTAGAAGACTTGCGTGGATATTCTTCATACTAGAGGAAGCCTACATGGAAAACACATTGTGCAAGAATTGGCGGCCAAAGATGATGAGAAAGATGAAATCGAATTGGGTCTCCACGTTTTTTTTGTAGATGTACTTACTGAGGAAAAGAGTTTTGGCTTGGAAAATCTTGATCAGAAGTGTTGGAATATGGGGCACATTGCCTGCAGCATTTGATTCAAAAGGAACTCCGTGGTTCGTGTTAGCCGAAATTGGATAATACAAAGAAGATCAAAATTATAGGGAAATGGAAAAACTAAAATTATACAATGCAAATAAATTCAACCTTCCTACCAAACTTGAAAATGGAATTGGAAAAATGTTGAGGCACGTGGAGCACGTTTTCCTTAAAACAGATTCGTCCCCTCCGGCGTGTGCTTGAGGTTACGTTGGACGTTCGTCTCCCAAAATACAACGACAACGACGGTAGCTCGATGCACTTTCGGAACCGTCCGGCGAACTAGAACTTTATATTTCCTCTATCACCAAAACCAAACTACAAGAACACAATGAACTGGAAAAGAAGAAGAAGAACTCGTGGGAGAAGAACAGAATATGTTTCTGTGCAAGTGAACCTCTCCTTCATGTGAAGACGCCTTATATAGGCTCTGGAAAATAGGTTATGGAACCAGGAATTAAAGGCCCTTAATCTCCATTTTAATTGTGCATAAAACGTTTCCTGAACCCAGCCACAATACACATCCAGGTTCATGAAAAAACTGATTCAATAACCAGCCTTTATCATCACAATTAATCTCAGAATTAAGCACCCCATTAAGCCTTCTCTAATCTCCATTAAGCACAGCATTTGCTAAGGCCAAACGGTTAGAAGAAGCTGGAAGGGCCGAAGCAAAAATAAAAATAAAAAAACGCAAAAGTAAGCTCGCACGGAGTGAATTTTCCGGTCTGGCATTCGTGTCCGCACACATTAGGCCCCAACCTGCCGGGATCAATTTCAATCTCCTCACGACGGGGAACGCAAATCCATCGAGACCCGTCCCAAAACCCTATTGGACCCCATCCGAATATGGGCCTCAAAATGGGCCTTTAAAATGGCTTAAAAAGCCATTTTTCCAACAGTTCGTGGCTGGCGGCTCGCGGCCTCGGAGGGGGCAGAGATTGTTGGTATTGGTGGAGCAATTCGCAACCTTGAAGACCATGCTCTTGTAAAGTTAGCATCCCCAAGTATTTGATTTATCCACCAAAAGTTAGAAAACAATCAATCTTACGAAAGTTATATGGCTAGAAACCAGAGCTATAATAATGCTTGAAACTCAGCAATGAAGAGGATTGCAAAGGAATTCCTTAATACGTTTGAACTTTGTGTGTTAATTATAAAACCTCAAGTAGCACAAATCTTGCTGGATGACATGTATATCCTTGCCGAGGTTGAGAGAAACGGTTTTCTCTTAATAAAAAAATGCCTTTCTTTCTGAAAAATATGAAGACGAATTGTTTTACGGCAATTATTTCTGAAGTAAAACATCAAAATGAAGCCATTATAATCAAAAGATTCCCAGTGCTCACAGGCTGGGAAATTATGGTAATGGAATTCTCAGACCGAGATCCCGTAATTGCTGATCTTTGTGACCTCCTTTGTCAATGTGTTTCTTTCTCGCTTTGCCTCAGAAACAAGGCCTGAAACCTAGCAAACAGAGAGATTCCAGAGTAAGCACTTCTCGCATACTCAAATTTTTCAAACAAATGAAAAGGAGATCAATGTAATGATCACCGGATATGAAATATTTGGTGGGATGAAAACTAAAGGGAGAAAATACGTGGACATAGACAGGAAGACTTTTGCATTCTTTTCTTTCTTTCCTTCTTTCTTTCTTGTTTTTTATTTTATTTTATTTTATTTTAGAAAAAGACTGCATAATGACCACTATAATGCAGTAACATGTTATCTCAATAAGCGAAGCTCCAGGTAATGGATATTTCTAAAAGCAACTCTCTAGTTTTATAGGGTCCGAGTATTGAGTTCTCTAAACTGTAAAAAATGAAACGATAGAATTTAACTGCAGACGTACTTGTGATCGAAATCTAGATGCTTCTCTTCTGGGAAGTTCACTGAGGACATCTTTCAAACCTGGTGACAAAAGAAACAAAGATAATATGAAATGATGGTGAGAAAGATATCTTTTCACACAGTCTGCGCCTGGCCTGACGACAAAATGGCTTTGGATTATATCATATTGCATACCTGCTGCTTGCCTTTCAATCTTATAAGCCGAGCGAATAACACCTTGAATCTGCTTCCCTGCTTGTCTGTAATAGAAAAAGACGCTTGAATGGGAAAAAAATGCAACAGAAACTAAGGTAGCGTGAAAGCTGAGATGCAAACCTGAGCTTTGTCCGTCCCCTCATCAATTCTTGTTCTGCTTGTGTTGCCCTCTTCTGAAAGCATTTTTTATGACATGAGTTGTATTATTAGGATGCTCAGAGCAAATATGTTAATGAAACAGAAAGATCCTCATAATTGATTCTGTTATAAAAGGGTCTTGGAAAATTTCATAAGACTATTGCTTGGAATTTTATAAGACAAGTGCATCTCCTGTAGAACATGCGACTGCATTTCTTTTCCTCCAAACTGTGAAGTAACAACTTATTGATTTGACCATAAACTAGAAAAGCAAAAAGGGGGGGAAAATGACTGCAAAAAACAGTGAAAGTTTTAATCTTAATCAATTTTTTATCAAGCAAGAGTGACATGAAACTGAAGTGGTTACCTCCAACTTCTCACTTTCGGCCTTTATAGCATCAAGTGATTGTCGCAACTGCTTTACTTTTTCATCAGCCCTGGAAAGCAATGACTGAAAACAAAAACAGAAAATAAATATTGCAATAAAACCAAAAAAGTACCAAACAATCAACGTTAGAAGTTTCAATTACAATGCAAATGCCAAAATTAAAAACGAACATCTCTGCTTACCTCTTCGCTTCGAAGCAAGCGCAAGGTCTTGTAGTACAAAAAGCTCCGCGGCCCTGCAGGCAACAAACAATTCATTGGCAATGGCTTTAACTAATATTTACCAAACATAAAAAGAACTTTGGAATACAATATGAAATTAAAACGCTGCTTCGTTAAATTCTCTATATGATAATGATACTATTATAGCACTAATAATTATTGGCAATCGTACCAAAACATAACAGCATTTTAATCTACAATTCAATATTAAAATATAAGTATATAACTAAATTGCTTTTGAACTTTAAAACCATACTTTTTGGTACAATAAGCCCCAATCCAGTAGCTAACCCTCCTGTCAGCAATGGGTGTGAAGCTGCAACAAGAATGCCCTCTGCACCAGAAACAATCATATATATGTGTGTGTATGTGTGTAAAATTGCCTCAAATTTCAAATTGAACTGAAAAGAACTAATATAGAACAACTAATGAAATTGCTAAGAACAGGAAAACCTTTAATCTTCACAAATACAAGATCTTCATAAGCGCCAATCTCGGACTTCACATCTTGTAAAGAGTCCTACATTCAGATTTCCAATTCATTAAACTAAGTTCCACACAGAAGGAAACACGTATGGAAACACGTAACTAAAAAAAATCAAATTCCTCCACTCATTCATTGCTACAAACGCCGCACACCGTCTTGTTTTTTTCTCTCACTTTTCTCAGCAACCAAACAGTCTAATTTCACCGATAAAAAAGCTATTTCGCACGGTAAATTCTAATTTCTCAGCTTCGCTCGAACCAAAGAGAGGACACAGTTGGTACTTACGAGAGTTTGGTTGAGATGAGCAGAAGAGGTGGATAGAATCTGGGAAAGGCGGGATCTTGAAGCTTCAATGGCGGAATCGAGGGTCTCCTGCGCGGTCTTCTGGTAGAACCGAGCCTGGTGGATCGCGTAATCCACCCATGGCGTATCGCTTTGCCCTAGAATCTGGGGATTGTAGCTTGTCGGAGCCTCGCTGTGTGAAATCGTCGGCTTCTCTTCCGACATCGATTCTGGAACTGTCGAACTCGCCATTCCTTGTTCCCTGATTCCTTTCTGCAAAAATAGTGATGGAGGTGTTTGCCTTTTAGCAGAGGTTGGTCATTCGCGTCGCGCGTCTGTCTAGCTTGTTTTTTTCTTAAATTTGCTGTCAAACCGAATATGATCCCTCAAATTTTTTAAAAATCGTAACATAAATACGAACATAATTATTTTATAAGTTGACACGATATAATATAAAAATAATTCATAATATGAAATTAATTTGTGAATTTAAAATTGACACAAAAATTATATATATTTTTTTATTTTTTATATACTAAAAATAACTTAAAATTCATAACACATTAAAATATAATAACGTCCATTAAAATTAAGGAATTGTTCTTTTACATTTTTTAGTTAGGGTGACTTGAGTGATAATCTTAAGTTAAATTTGAGTTATAACTTGAGTTAAAGTTGTAACTTGAGTTTGTGTTGGGATGTACACGCTTGAGTTATAATTTGAATTGAGAATCTATTTGATTTTGTGTTTGAGTGAGTCAAAACTTAAATTTGTATTTATATAGTATTTAAAAAAAACTCAATGGTGATGGAAAATTTTAATAGGGTATATGGGTGGGGTTTTATTCGTATTTTCGTTGTAAATGCATAGAAAAAAATCATCTCAATCAGAATTAAAACGAAAAATTTATGACATTTTTAATAATAGGAAAAATATTGTTCATTAACTTGAGTTTGAGTTTATAAACTCGAATTAAAAAGGAAACTTGAACTCGAGTTTAGCCTCAAACTCGAGTTCAAACTCGAGGTTAAATTCAAATTTTACAAAAGAACATAAACTTGAATAAAATTGCAACTCAAGTTCAAATTTTTTATGAGTTTCGTTGTAAAAGAACAACCCATAAGTAAATAATAGTATAAGATTTTGAGTATAACTATCATAATATCACAATTTTATAATAAAATCTAAAATATGTAATGAATATATATATATATATATATATATTAGTTTTTTACGAGTTTCATGTCGTGTTCATGTTATGCGGGTCTAACCCGAAATTGATTCATATTTTTCGTGTCAATTTCAAGTCGACCTAATTCTGACTCAAACATCTTTTTCTCAACTTTAAACCGTAAAATTCGTGTCATTTTTTAATCGTATTATCATGTCATGACCCATATTATCGGTCTTACATTTTGAGCCTGTCTTGCCCAACACTAATGATTTCTTAGGCCCATTAGCAACTTTACTTTTGGGCCAAAGTTGATGAGCTTTTTGGGTCTATTGAATAATGAGAAAATTACTTTATCCTATTAATACTCTTTTAATTAATACAATTATTTGATTAAAAATGATTTTAATTAAGAGTTACAGATAAATATCTAAATTTATAAATTTTAAGAGGTATTTATCTCATTTTTCTATGAAAATACTTAATTTACGCTCATTTGTAACATATTGATACAAATACATAAAAAAAGTTAATTATATCAATGCATCTTGAACTTATTAGTTTTAAAAAAAATAAGACCATAAATTTGAAAAATTGTTGCAATCATAATTAAATAGTTAATAGATGTTTATCAATTGATGCAAAAGCTTCGAGATTTTCACACAGATAAAACCTAAACCTTTTGTTGTTGGCAAGTTGGATCTTAAAGTTTAAAATTTCAATTTGTATTATCAAAGATTATTAAATTTAGAGTTCTAACTATTGAAATTAATAGCCCGTTTAAAAGGTATACTAAAACCATAATTTTTGATTCAGACATTTGAAGTTCAAATTTATCGTGAGAGGAAAATACTATAGCAGAATCAATAATTTGAGTTTAAGTATGTGAAACAAATAAGCCCTAAAACTCTCGATGTTCAACTTGTAAATGACGAGAAATTACCTTATTTGTTGTCAGTTGCGATAATGTATTTTATCGTTAATTTCTCAAATGTGTCTAGTTACAATAATTAAGTAAATTGAGAGAATAGATTATCAAAGGATTAATTTCAAAAATTACTCATGAACTATGACCCATGTAACACCTTGCCTCATGAATTTCAAAACGTAACATCCGCTCCCCCCAAACTTTGTTCCGTTAATAATTTTGCCCATTCCGTTACACTGAGTGACGGAATTCACCACGTGTCTATTATTTAATGAGATTTAAAAGTAGAATTACGCTTATACCCATCTTGTTAGCATCCAAAACATGCAAACCACCATTTTCCTTCACTTTCATGCTCTTTCTCTTTCTCTCATGGACTTCCCAAACGACCTATTTCGTCTCCGGCCAACAGCAGCAACAACAACAACTCATCAAAACCATTGTCGTTTTGGTGATGGAGAACCGCTCCTTCGATCACGTGCTGGGGTGGATGAAGAAATCCGTGAACCTAAACATCAATTGCGTCACTGGTGAAGAATGCAATCCGGTTTCCACCTAAACCTAGAAACCCGAAAGATTTGCTTCACCGACGATGCCGAGTTCGTTGATCCAGATCCCGGGCACTTTTTTGAGGCCGTTGAGCAACATGTATTTGGCTCTATTTCAATTCCCTCCATGACTGGTTTTGTTGAGCAAGTTTTGTCTATGTCTCCCAACCGTTTACAAGGATTTAGACCCATATCCATACCCTTTTACGAGGCTTTAGGCGCCGTTCACTTCGCTGATTCGAGTTTAGAATTTGAGTTTCTCTACAGTAAAAAGCTCTCACAAACAATCACATCTAACTTTTTTGCTACAGTAAAAAGCTCTCACATAAAATCACATATCAACTCGAATCAGCGAAGTGAACGAGGCCTTAGTATGAGAATTTGATGTTTTCGATATATGGTTTTCTTCCATTCTCAGTCCAACACAACCCAATACGCTGTCTGTTTACTCCATAACTTCTCATGGCTCAACAAGCCATGTCAAGAAGCAATTGGCTCAAGGGTATCCACAAAAGACCATATTTGATTCTGTTCATGAGAATGGTTTCGACTTTGGGATTTACTTTCAGAACATACCCACAACTAGTGATTCTGAACGAAGATGGGTATAAGCGTAATTTCACTTTTAAATCTCACTAAATAATAAACACGTGGTGAATTCTGCCACTCAATGTAATAGAATGGGTAAAATTGTTAACGGAATAAAGTTCGGAGAAGTGAATGTTATGTTTTAAAATTTAAGGGGTAAAATATTACATGAGTCATGGTTTAGGGGAATTTTTTGAAATTAATCCATCATCAAAAATTAAGAGGACGTTTGGTTTATGTATTCGGAATCATGATTCAGAATCATTCTCGTTTTACGTGTATTTTTTATTAGAAAAAACACTGTAGAGAACCATAAATCATGATTCAGAATCAGAGACGAATATAGGAAACAAACGTCCCATAAAAGTTCAAGTGACAAATTTATAGAGGAGTTGTGATACAATCTAAGTAAAAAAAAAGCTTATAATAATACAAGGAAAAAACACGTCAATGAAAATATACATTTAGGCCTCGTTCATTTCACCGATTCAAGTTTTTAGTTTTAAGTTTCTACAGTAAAAAGCTCTTAGAAAATGTTACATCTAACTTTTTCTGCTATAGTAAAAAGTTATCAGAAAATGTCACATTTCAATTCAAATTAAAAACTCGAATCTGCGAAGTGAACGAAACCTAAAAATTTTTTAAAGTAGATTTTATGGCACATTTTGTGTACCTATAAATCAGATTTTTATAATTATTAAATCTATATATTTTTTAATTTTTACATAATTTTATATAAATTTAACAATACTGTTACGATACATTAACGTACTTAGAAGTTGCTTTAAATTCGGCATAGGAAGTTAGGAACTAACAAAATCGTAGATTTAGCCAAAAAAAAAAAAAAAAAATACAAATCTAGATAGTACTTAGGGAAAAAAAAAAAAAAAGAAAAAACGAAAAAAAAGTCTTAGAGTATTTAGGCTCCTAATTTCGACTCTCTCTCTCTCTCTCACACACACACCCGATTCTCTTTCCTCTCTTAGACTCGTTGATTCTCCCAAATCTCTCTCTCTTTCGCAATCTCTTCTTCTCTCCTCCGAAATTCCCCAATCTCTACCACCCACTGTAACTCCTCTCTCTTTCTCTCTGGCCAAAACCCTAGCTCGCCGTCGTTCCGCCATGCTGAAATTTTCGTCAACCACCGCGAACCAGATTCGCTTACTCCTTCAGAGCCTCACCGAAGCAAATGCCGACTCCGTTCTTCACGACCTCTCTCAGGTTTGCGTCTATCTTGCTTATTTTCTTACAAAGTGTGAATTTTTTTTTGTCTCACTTTTTACTTTCATTTTCTCTTTTCTGGTATTTTGATTCTTCATTTTTAGGCGTTGCAATTGAAATCTGTGCTTGTATGTGTGTGGGG